CGAATGATTCTGGCAGCCCAGGCTTGTCCAAAATCTGCTGCTTCTTAAAATGAGCTCTAAATTAATTGCCACAGCTGAAACCTGAAGCCTACTTCACAATCAAGCCATCCTTGGTGCCAGGACAGGTGTGATTTTCTATGTTCAGTAGAGAAAACTTGGCACGTGAAGCTTCTCTCACCGTTGCGTAGTGATGAAAAAAGATGCAACAGGGGAGCCAATAGCAGGTGTAAAGCCTTTTCAGATGATTCCCCTTCCTTGGCCACTAGCTTTGGTGTGATTGCACTAACCCCAGGACTGTTACGCTCAACTCCATCCTGTTTCCTTACATCTTTTATTAGCCTCTTAACAAGGCCAATTAGGTCACCATATTTTCTTCCCCCATCTCCTTACGATGATCAAACCAGAGTGCAAAACCAAGGGGAAAATTATGAGTAATTGGCTTGGAGATTTCACATTTTGTTAGCATTTTATATTCCTCCCGTGTAAGGGAGTTGGAAACCTGCCTTGCTGGCGGCAAATGGCTGTTTCACTGCTGGGGGGGGGGATGGTATAAATAGATTGCAAGGACGTTGGTACAAGGTAGCAGTCTTTTTTGTAAAGTTTATGAAATGTAAATGTTTATAAACGGTATGGTGGGCAGATTATATCACTCAACACTTGCCAAGTCATGGGTGCCTAAATAGCAGGCCACTGCAGTGGATGGGACAGCTGGCAAGCAAATGTATTTCTACAGTTGCAAAACTATTGCTGCTTGCCCATAAATACTGTATTTCCCCAGGACTTGAGATGTTACCATCCATCGCAAACGGCATTTAGAGCTCTCATTAAGGAGAAATTACTGTAACTGGACAACTGCTGTGTAATAAACGCAGCTTTGAAAGGCCCTAAGAACAGGAGTCCTGTACAAAATATGATCAGATCAGCAGCGGATGGTGTTGTGGGGTGGCAGCGCTCAGATGACCTCTGGCTGGTTGCATTGCTGCTGTTTATGGGTAGATGGGGCAGGGGACAGGTTGGCGCTATGCAAATGCACCAATGGGAATGTTGTATTGGCTTCACAAATGCATTTGCACTGCGTTGACTTTCTTTTGCTTCGTCCCTCCCCCTCTACTCTCAGTAAGCAGCAGCGCCATGATCAGCTGGAGGTTAGGGGAGCGGCACCACCCCACAATGCTGTCTGCTACTGCTAATCTGGATTTACATGCAAACCCATTCCTACAGAAGAGACTAAACAAACATAGGGCTCCAACAGGACACAACCTGCCTTTTATCAGCTCTTCCGGCCAAGAGCACAGAGTAAATGCCACATAGTCAAACCTATCATAGGAACTTTTCTTGGCCGCAGAGGCTACTTAACATGCACGACCTATGCCATTGTCTTTTATACAGCAAGACTGCAACTTATGCAGGGTTAAGTTCCAGGGATCGTGCCTAAAAGCCAAAATTGCATTTAGTTAAAAACACACTTGGTGCAACAGCAGGTGGGATTGCCCAAGTATCCCCCCCCCGACGCTCATTCTCTTTCTGCTCTTTTTAAATTCTTTTTTCTGCCAAGTACGTAAAGCTGAATTAAATGTGCGTAAATCGTGGGCTTACTGTACAGAACACTTTGTTTGAAAGGTAGCTGTACTGTTCTAACTGGGTTAAAAAAATATGCCATCACCCTTCTTAAAATGTATACTTACCCGCATCCAAGATGTGCACCCATGTGATTTTCACTCCCTTGAGACTATTTGACCTAGATGCAGGCTGTGATGTCTTAAGTTGGAAGTAATGTGTTTTTTCTTTGACAGACACTTGTACATTTGATCAGATTTTCCTTGAGCTTGTAGGCTCTGCTACAAATGAAGCATCACTGTAAGTTTACAAAAATGTTTCTGAGATACACTCAAAGGTAAGCCTTTCCTTAAGCCAACAATATAATGCTCACCACACCATTCCCCATCTCCACCCTCTCCCAACTCCAAAAGTATACCAGAACACCTTTTGGCCTTTGTTCAGCTGATTTTACAAGTGGCCTGCAAGTGTGTCTTGCTTACCCCTCCTTCTTGAAGCACGCTTTTACTCTTTTAAAGTATGTAATTATTTCCCCTTTTAAAGTCCATAGCAAGCCCTGTGTCTACATGTCATTTTCTCTCTACAAAGGATTTGAGACACTTCAGGCTCCTTAGAGGTGGTGTCTGAGACTTTATGCCAACAGATTCCTTTGCATAAACATACTATATTTGCCAGTGAGGAGGAAGGGATAAATGTGAAAATTCAGATTAGATGCAGACAATGTTAGCTCTACTCAAGAGTAGACCCATTTATATTAATGGTTATGACTAACTTAGGTTCATCAAAGGGTCTGAGTAGAACTTAAGTTGAATACAGCCCAAAGACTTTTTGGAAGTATCCTTCAGGATGTTGCTCAGGGCTGAGCCAAGAGCAGTGTGTCGGACCTTTGAGACCAAGGAAGGCGACACTTATTTCTTTTGTTCCATTGTGGGAAATCTTTCCACACGGTCTCATAAATCCTGTTTGTGGAGGCATGACAGAAGGTCAAAACGATCTGGAGCACTGCAGAGAAACAAGCCCGTTTCCACCAGTTGCTGTTCAGTCTCCAGGCATTCAAATGTAGCTATGATGGATTTGGATGAGTAACAGGTCAGCTCCGGGAAGAAGAGGCCAGCATTTGTTGACACCGAGCTCTGTAAAACTGGGGAAGTACCATCTCTGCAGCTAGCATCAAGCTGTTACAATCACCTCCATCTCAAATTACCTCACCTTGCATAAGACCCAGAGGAGAAAAAACATTATGTTTAGGGGTACTCTCAATTTTGACTCAAGGAAATCACCATTTTATAGTTCAAATTGGGAAAAATAAACACAGTAAATGGACAAAAGTACAAAGATTCACAAAATGTTTAGGGGTATGCGTCCCCCCAGAAAAAAAGCACTGCTGGTCTCTGGGTCTTGATGCAGGTGTTCAAAGATGCACAAGGTCAGCAACCAGACACTCCCATAATCATGAAGTCTGTTCATAATCATGTTGAAAACTTCAGAGTGGAAAGCCTACTCTCATGAATCTTAACTTTTAAGCAGCTAAGCCAGTCCACTTGACTAGGCGATAGAAAGCAAAATCTCATTTGCTCAGGCTAGAAACAGTGAATCCTTGAGCCTTAAGTGTGACCCGATTCTCCCAGACCTCTGGAGGCACATCTTGAACAGCTAGCCCAACGGCCCTACCGCAAACTAGGAAGTTGTGGATTAAACTCTTGGCTTCAGAAGTGGCAAAAGAATAAGTACTACACCCTTCCTTCACTGGACCTGATGTGAGCTCATAGGAGGGATTTGTACCAAGGAGAAAACAGACAGCAACATTATTGGGCCTTACACCTGAAAGACTATAAATAGGTACCAAGGACCAAGGTGGCCGATGGGCCTTGAGGTAAAATCCTCCAACTTATCCCTTCCCCATCTAGTATCACTAGGAAAGGATGACATGGGTAGGAAGAGGTAAAAAGCAAAGGGGTGGGAGTTACTTCTTTTAAAGCTTGCAGGCAAAAAAGAAAAGAAGAAAAGAGGGAGTACAATAGATCCCATTCTCTTTCCAAAAGCAGTGCCAGAACTGGCAACTCTGGAGAGTTCACCTCTAGCCAGGTTATCAAATCTTTGACCCTTGAGCGGCTTCCGTCCAGAATTAACCTTTGCTGCTTGCTCTCTTACAGTTTAAATGTGAACAGGCTCAAATTGCAGCTGGAAGTATATAGGTTAGAGGTTAGGCATTCTAACAGTGGAGGTGCAGAACATATTGCCTAGGGGTTTAATGGCATCTCCAATTACAATCAGATGTGCAAAATTCAAAAAATGTTGACAAAGGTGACACATTTAGTGCCTCTCCTATTCTATAATATTCAGTGCCAGAGCAATTTCTAATTACAAAGAAACATGACAATTCCGGGGGGTGGGGGGAACGACACTTATCACTATTGCTAATTTGGCAAATAGATAGGCTTTGCACATGCATTTTGCTCTTCTCATCTCACAGGAAACCACCCAAGGGGGAATGAGAGGTCACTATAGATTGTGATCTCTCATTTCCCATGGGGAAGCATGTATTGTGGGTAAGGAATGGCACAGTGTGCATGCAAATCTTGGCACTGGGCAAGCCCTAGTCAAACACAGTTGCTTAAGAGGCAGTGCTGACAGTTGCCAGGGCAGTATGCTACTTTCAGCCAACTAGCTGATGGCCCTGCAACCAAACAACTGAAAGAGATACTGCTGGCTGGAGAAAAGCAGTGTATTTGTGCACTGATTTGGATTGGATGGCAACTGCTTGGAGAACAGGGCTAGCATTTTCAAGCTAATTTGCTCAGGAAAAGGTGAAAAGAGGCTACCTCACTCCCTAGTCAAAGCTGGCCACTGCTGCCTTACAGATGGAAATGATTATATTCTGTCTCCTTCCCAATATGCTTCATGCCCTTCTGGGTGGCTCCAAGGAAAAGGGGAAGCGGACAGCTGTTTCATCTATTTAATACCTATTAAATCCTATTGCATTTCAGGTCAGTACTCTATACTTCTTATGAGTTTATTGTTCAAATAATTGTAGTCGCTAAAAAGGAACTATTTTAAGAATTATGCTAATCAGCGATTGCCCAGAAAAATGCACACCCAATGGAAGGAATGTGCATGGGCCAGTTTGTCTGGTTGTTGCTTGCTTCTGTATGCTTGGATTCACTCTTGACTCATTTACTTCCAAGCCTCATAAATGTGGCAATCTGTGCTCCTTTCCCCAGTGTAAGGCATGTGGGTTGCTAAGGCATGCAAACAGATCTACATTTAACATGGTGGCTAATGCATACAAAGCACAGTGCATGTGTGTAGCAATGAAAAGTTGCGCATTCTACAAACACTGTATTTAACTTTCTCTATCTCCCTCAACATGTGCCATGTGCCAGCAAAACAATTTAGAAGGCAGCAGCCTCTCAGGCATGCATGACGTTAATTTTTTTTTTTTTGGAGGGGGGAGACACTGGATACAGACAACTTCAGAAATAATCTTACACTATTGATTCTAATACAGCAAAATATTTTGAAAAGGAGTCCAGATGTACAGGAAAGCTACAGAGAAGGTAGTTGAAAAGTCCATTCATAAAACTTTTATTCCACTTACATCAACTTAATACACATGTTCTTAACAGTTATGCTTAGATTGTTCATGAAAATTTTCAGGAGACATTAAACAAAGCTAGCCATCATCTCAAGTTATTTCCCTGTTAACTATTTTTACAGCACATGCATGTTAGGCAAAGTATCAAAAAAAAAATCACAAAAGCAAAACCCTAAAAAAGTTAAATACATGGGTTTTTGTTTTACTGCTGTGCTCGATATACAGTGTAATTATGGATATCAAGCATTTCATTTTTACTGCATCTTTACTTGTACATTTGTTCTTAGGTTGCCTAAACCATTTAAATACAAATAAATTGTGTAGCAAAAATAATGAAAGCAACAGCAGGTAACTTTACAAGTAATGGAATGTGAACCGTTTCTGCCCTTCCCTAGAGAAAGTTCATTGGGTTAGCAAACCACCTTAAGGAACACTTTTCAGATGCAATCAGAGATGTATACTTGGACTGTAGATTCCACAGATTCACATGATTGACATGTAATATCCATGGGACATTAATTTTCCTCGGCTATGTGTTCCACCTTTGAAGTACCCACATTCTCTACACCTGCGTGGTTGCAACCAATCATCCCTTTTTTACCACTGTGACAGACCAATATGCAAGCAGTTTTTTCTTTGCTCAACATAGGAAGCTGTTTAACATTGGCTTTTGTGGGAAGCCACAAAGTACCAAGAGTACTATGCCAAACATGTAAAACTTTTATAAAAATTCCACATCCCTATATTGGCCACCTTGGATGAACAAAAATTCCCCAAATGTTAACTGGCTCTATTCCCCTAATATTAAACATAAAACCACATGGGAAATATAGAAATCCAAATAGAAGTAACATAAACCTGTCATAAATCGTAAACAAAAACTATTTGTGGGACAGCATGGATGACAAATGGTCTACTGTGTAAATTTTAGAATGAGGCAGACAAAAATTGGAAGGCTGGTTAATTCTCCCCTCCTTCTCCTGCTTCAGCTTCATCTCCTTGGGTATCCGATGTCCACAACTGTTTAAGAAAAATGCAGTCATGTGTTACCGATTAAAGCATCAGTAGTGTGAATAAGAAAGCACTCATCAGGATAATCTCCAAGAAAGCTATTCCTCATCTTTAAAAAGGCACTCTTTCCAAGAGCAAAGCATTCGTATTATGCATTTCATTCCATAATTAGATTTTTTTTTATTTAACCCTTGGCTACCTGGTGATTTAGGAGACTCACAAGATTGTTTTCTGCTTGTTTGTACATAACTTGGCTTAATAAAAGCTGTACAAGTACTTACTGTCAAATTGTCTCTCAGTAACTGCATTATTAGTGTGCTGTCTTTGTATGATTCTTCGCTTAACGTATCAAGTTCAGCAATGGCTTCATCAAAAGCCTATGTAAGAAAGGAAAAAAGTACATTTGTACATGCAACACTGGCAAAAATATTTTATTTAGTGCAGTAATTAGACTATTAACTCACAGTCTTTGCAAGGGAACAGGCTTTCTCCGGAGAATTCAGGATCTCATAATAGAACACGGAGAAGTTTAGAGCCAGACCTAATCTGATAGGATGTGTTGGCTGCATCTCTTTTTTGCTGATTTCGAAAGCTTCCTGATATGCCTGTTGCGACTGCTCCACTATCCCTTTAAAACCAAAGAAGTAAACACAAAGTTAGCAATTGCACTTTGGAGTATGTTAAAACAAACATAGACTAGATGCCTTAGTATATAGGACAAGAATTGTACACAGTTTCAGAAGGTAGCATTTTTGAAGCTGTTAATAAAATCCATAAAGAATAATTAGAAATAAGGAAGTATATGCCCATGTGTACTGAATCCAGGTATCCAGTAGACCCTGTTCTATAAAACCTTATACTCAATCCTAACCATGTCTACTCAGTCCTGGCTATGAATACTCAGAAGTAAATTCCACTGAATTCAGTGTGGTTTACTCCCAGGATTGCACTGTTATACAAACAAATTAAAGGCTAATTTGATGGGGTTTTGTCTTTCCATACACTCTAGATTCAATTAAGAATTCTAGCATATCACAGTTTTCAGGTTCAAATCTTGGCCAGAAAGAGCTATGCTAGCTATCCAACTGACTGATGAGCAGATGTCAGAGTAACAACAATGCTAGCCAAACTGTAGAATGCTAAAAATCCCACTCTCCCACAAATTCTGACTAGTAGAAGATCTCCTAGTAGCTGGTTCTTGCCTTCACAACAGCAATGTTTTTAAGCAACATGGATAATGTTAAGCATTGCATTTAGTTTACAAAATTTAAGACAAATGTGGCCTGTAACACTGAAGTACATAAAGGTAAATTGGCCGGCAACAGTACTGCTGAAGATGATTTGAATGACAACCACGCTACTGCAAAGACGTGGAACACTATACTGTAATTCATCAAGAGGAAGATAGCATCCAAACCACAAGAAGTGCTAATGCTTCTGCCCATTAGCTAAAGAAAGATGCCCACTGATATGCGAATGTGTTTGGATAACCTGCAGCAAGGTTAGTAAGGCGTTTAAACACCCCTTTTCAAAACAGGCATATCTAGCCTAAGTCAGAGAGAGCTGGCAATAGTAATTCAGTATTTCAGAGGATGGCATAATGGTGGGGAAACAAAGGATAAATTTTAAAAAGTGAAACTCTCTTTGTCTGTACAGAAAACTAAAGCAGCAATAGCCTTCTGCCACAGGCAACGGAAGTTGTATGTGGACTAGACACTAAAAATGTGCCACATTTGCTGCATATTTATCTACAATTGATCCTGGGCATGGTTGGAATGGACTACCTATATATCCAACCACCTTTATTTAAGAGGCCCTAAGAAGATGCTATTACCAATGTTAGTAATTCAAATACTAATACAGTGGTGCCTCGCAAGACGAAATTAATCCGTTCCGCGAGTCTCTTCGTCTAGCGGTTTTTTCGTCTTGCGAAGCAACCCTATTAGTGGCTTAGCGGCTATTAAAGGCTTAGCGGCTAAAAGGCTATTAGCGGCTTAGAAAAAGGGGGGGGAGCAAAAAAAATCTCAAGACTCGCAAGACATTTTCGTCTTGCGAAGCAAGTCCATAGGGAAATTCGTCCTGCGAAGCGCATCGACAAACGGAAAACCCTTTCGTCTAGCGGGTTTTTCATCTTGCGAGGCATTCATCTTGCGGGGCACCACTGTACTGCAAACATTCAGAACAGTCTCTGTTTGCTGCTCACAGAAGTGATACTTCCCTTCCTGGCTACACCCAGCACTAATCTCCAAACCTGCCCTTATCATTTAAAGCAAAGAAACCAAAAGCATTGGGAGAACCACTCACGGCATTACAAAAACCTGCAATACTCAGAACAAAAACCAGAATGATGGGTATTTTCTTTCATTTCCTGAAAGCGCACAAACCCCAACTGATACTAGCAGAAATAAAGAGAGCGCTCAGCAAAGTTTAATTTGGGAATGACAGACCGACCTCATGAAATAGAGTAATAGTCGTTTTGCAAAAAGTTGAATGCCTTAGCTACAGAGAATTCTAAATGCATAATTTTGCTATTAGTATTACTGTTTCATTCATGACTCCTTTTTGTAAAAAGGGCAAGTTTACTTTGGGGGAATACAGTGAGGTGTTTCCAGAAGTGGCAGAAATAATTGGTATGCTGTACAAAAGCACTGAGGTCAATTCAAATACTGTGCAGACTTTCCTGCCACCAATTCAGAGGACTTAGAAGTGGAACAGGTACAAAGAAGAGCAACTAAGCTATCCCTTTTTGGAGATCTTATGAATTATGATGAAAACATCAGCAGTGAAAGCATGTAACAGAATTTCTGAAGGAGGAACAACCATACACAGAGGCCTTAGAATATTTTTTTTGGAAACTCTACCCCTGAATTATGCTTAGTTGGAGCATAAGATTGCCCTCAATCCCCTTTAGTCAGCATAACCTGACATTATATCATTGTAAGCTGTTTAGTGCATCTACGACACTAGATTTAGCTATGAAAGTATAAGAGAGTGGACAGTGTTGGGAGGTAACCATACACGTGCCCAGTTTATTTGGATCTCCTACATGTCTTGGCAGCAGCAAAGTGGTCAATTCCCTCAAAGGAGTCAGTGTAGAGCCCATGACAGCTGCCCCACCACATCTGCCACGAAAGAGAATGAGATGCCAACTTACTCTGTAACCAAATCAGGACACAATACCAGGAGTATATAAGCCCCGGCAAGGGAACAGAGACCCCAAATATATATAACTACATTTCTTTGCCCTGTTTTAGAGAGAATGGGGCACATAATTGGCAACAGAGCACTTTTTTGTTTCTTTTTGAGTACTCCTTGTGAATAAAAGGATGTCTAGACATAAAAAATATTAAGTCAGAGAAAAGAGGTGTCCAAACTTTTTTCAAAGAGGGCCTTATTTGATACAGTGAAGGGCCGTGGGGGCCAACCAAAGTTGTTGGCCTTTCTAAAGGATTGTTGTTGTTGAGCTTTTTTATGATTTTACCCAAAGTTGTTGAGCTTCTTTTAGGATTGAAGTTGTTGAGGGTTTTTTAGGCTTTTACCCCAGGAAATAAACTGCCACAGGGGCCAGATTAAACCGATTGGCGGGCCAGATTAGGCCCCCCGAAATGGACTTTGGACATGCCTGCCTGCTAAACCCTTCCCTTTTTGACATGTTAGTTTCCTATTTGTTGGACTGAGAAATATTCCACCATGGCACAGCCTGGAAGAAGCTTACCACTTCAGTGAGAACTAAGACATATTATTCCAGGCAAAAAAAGAGCCAGAAGATAAGCACCGGAACAAATCAACTACAAATGGAGCCATATGCAGCTCTGTCTAAAGGATATCAGTGTGCTGTCCTGAAAGCAAAAGATTTCATTTCTACCCTTTGACCTCTGCCTTAGTAGGCAGCAGAGCCTACTGAGGCCCTCCGAGGCAAAGAAAAGGGGCTAAGTAGCTGGAATTTGCTCAAGCTATGATTGAGACAACTCATGCATAGACAATACTGTACTGTACTGTTTGGCAGAGACATAATCAAATCATTTAATCTGAAATCACTGGCTTATCTTACATACTCCTCCCATACATGGCATAAGCACACAGCCTGGAAAATAATCTCCAGCAAAACTAATTCCATAGCTCAGTAATTAAGAGGGAAACACCCTGCATCTGGAATCAGTCAACTTCAGGGGTCTGCTCAGTCCAAACAGTAGGCTTTTTGCCAGGCGCACAGAAGGAAACAGCAAAGGGTAGCAAGGCAGAGGCCATAAAATGCTACTGGCATGATCCTGGCACCATAGAGACATCATTTAATTTCTGTTCTTTACACCAAACATTATTTGAATGTGATTTTTTGTAAGCTGTTTTGAGAGTTTCTTGGAGCTATAAAGTAGGGTAAGTATTCTACATAATTAAATACTAAAAAACTGAGGAGGCAATCACTGGGATTGGTGAATGGCAGTTATTAGGCACTCTGTGGGAGCCACTGGCACTGTTGCAATGCTGCTTCTTTTCTCCACTGCAATTGTGCTTTTGACCCAGGATCCCAGCTCCTTATGCTCATGTAATAGGTGTAGCAATAACTATCTTAGCTGGAGCATAGGACTGAGAGTCTATGAGACAGTCAGGGAGGAAATAAGCAGCCTGGATTGATTCTATGAGCTAGAGATTAGCAGGTTTTTTTATGGGAAACTGACTGTTACAAATATGCAGTGCAACCACCTAGAACAGGCACGTCCAACAGGTAGATCGCTGGACACCTGTGATAGATCACAGGCTCCCCCCAAAAAAGGTCAACATTGCCCTGAATCCTTAAAAAGGGGCTTTCCTCCCTAAAAAAGCTCAACAACTTTGTCCTGAAACCCTAAAAAGGGGGTAGATCACTGCCAGTTTTTAAGTCTGTGAGTAGACTGCAGTCTCTTGGGAGTTGGCCATCCCTGACCTAGAAGAAAAATGAACACAGACAGCAACCATTTCACATGGTGGTTCTATTTCTGGCCCCCATGTGTGTATCAGCAGAGCTTATTTAAGTGCCCCCCCCCCGGGTCCAAAAGAACCTACACATCAGTGATCACATGTCAACTAGACGCGCCAAAAATGGTTTTCGCCTGTACTACAAAGTTATCACTGCTCTATAATCCACCAGACTACCTGTTTTCTGATACAAGAGCAAGTTTAGCAGATAGCTAGATAAAAAGCCATTAGAAACTACTCCAAGTTTTTACACAATAGCTAAATCTGTTTATTACTACAGAGGCCACTGCTGTAAGGAAGCATCCAGTGGTTTTTTTTTAAATGAATGACTAGAATAAGGGAGTGAACATTACAAGCATTAAGTTACCAAGTTTGTCTGGGTTCAATTGACACTGCAAGCTGTGGTTAATCAAAAAGGAAGTAAAAGCTTCTGAACACCTTTGCAGGGAACCTAAGATTTTACTAGACTGGTTTGCTTTGAAGTACCTACTTTTCAACTCCACACATTTTACAAAACTTGAAGAGATTCAGAAGCCAGCTGTAGTGAGGACACAAAGGGTAATCCTGGGGTTTTTTTAATCCTAAACTGAAGACAACTATCCTAAACGGAAGACAACTAGAGCTGAGGAGTGGTGATCCAGCCTTCAAATTTTTAAAAAGCTACAGGGAGATAAAGGATAGTTTGAAAGCTTTCCATACATGTATTACGGTAGCTCAGTAAACAAGCTGCCTAGAAGTTTTGGAAATTTTGAGGTTTTTGGGAGAGGATTTGATTGGCAACCTGTCAGGGATGTTTTAGGTACAAGGAATTCTGTCATTGGGCAAGGGATTGACTAGTTGAAACTTGAATACATTAAGACTGGAATTAAAAGTCTCTCACTTTTACATGCAGCATGTAGAGAATAGTGGTTTTCAAAATTCAAAATTTGAGTAACAACATTACTTGTGGAAATCTAGAAATGCCTGAACAACATTATGCCATAAAAGGTATCAGAAAAAAATAGCAACAGTCCAGATTTGTATTTTAAAGGAAAATTACCTGGAGCAGCGTTAGAGTACAGTGGTACCTTGGTTTACAAACTTCCACAAGTTTGTTCTTAAACCAAAGCGTGCTTTCTCATAGCAGTGAGGGACTCAATTTACAAATGGAACACACTCAACAGGAAGTGCAACATGTTCTTATTACAAGGCAAAGTTCACAAACCAAAACAGCTACTTCTGGGTTTGCAGCGTTCTTAATCCAAGTTGTTCATAAACTAAGCTGTTCTTAAACCAAGGTACCACTGTACACTTTTTGTCACACCATAAACAAGAATTTAAGAATGGTTTTTTAAAAAGGTGTTGTATAGGCTATTCTTTACTTTCTAAGCACATGCTATTGGCTGAGCCAAGAGTGGCACCTCAAACTACCAATGTTTCATCCCTGCAGAAATGGAGACACTGTGAAATCACCAATGGTTTATTACAGCCATGACTCAGATGTATTTGTGGCTTATGGCAGGGAGCTCCTTTGCCTGGTACCCAAGGGGGAAGTGACCTTTGCTCCCATTCAGGGTTTTGTAAGAGGCTTTTTTAAAAAAAACTAACTTGGCTGAGTCTGGAATCCTCACCTGCCACCTCAATGCCTGGAGTATTCCTTCCATATGAGGCAGTTCACCCGTGAACCCCAGTGTTGTATCTTGCTCCAGCTTCCAACCACAGGGTCCCAAGCATGGCTTAAATATTTACCTATTATCCTCTAATTTGGCCTTCTGCCAGAATCTTCTGATATGCTCTTCTTTCTACTTCCAGCCATTCTCAGTTATAGCTTCCTCCCTGCACTGATAACAGTGATCTAGCTTTGTTCATTCCAGCTCAACATTAGGTCTTTCCCTTCTCTGTGTTGTACCTCTCTGACTCTCCTGACCAGCTTGCCTCTTATCCTTCCTTCTCACCAGACCCCACCCTCCTAACACCTGGTCTTTAATAATGACCCACTTTGTAGCTCTGTTTCCTCACCCTTGCTGGCGAGTTGTTCATCACTGCTCATTCCTAAGACTGGCTTGCAGATCCTCAATAAGTGAGCATTAGAGCCTGTAGCTGATCCTACTGTGTCCCTTCAGGAGGGGACAACCATGCTAAACACCAACAGCAGACAGCCATGAAATATTAGATGCCAACTGTTCTGACACACTTTGAGTAAACTATTAATGCTGCATTTTTTCACTACTGCTAAGAACTTCAATTCTACAATTCCACCTTGCAGAATCTACTTTAACGCTAGAGTACACTTATTGGGCAGAGGACACAGAGAATGTCAAAAGAGCTCTCCTGCAGTCAGCCACGAATGCATACAATAGCAAAAATGGCCAATGCACGTATTTTGAGACCTTGTTGATTAACATTAATAGTCACTTACGAAAGCTTTTAAACTGCTGATTATGTTTACTCACGTGTCACTCTGAAAGTCAATTCTTCAGATCAACATCTTTAAAATATTACAATACTGCAACGCTCAGCACTTGTTTCCTTTATTGACATGTAACATTCCAGCAGTAAATACCCGACTGTTGGAAAATTTCATGGGAACTTTTGACACTAAGAAGCCAACACACTGTACCTTTCTTGTCATCACCAGCAGCAACTTCAGCCAAATAACGGTAGTAGTCGCCTTTCATTTTCAAATAGAAAACTTTGCTTTCCGCTTGCGAAGCATTAGGAATCAAGAACTTTTCCAACAGAGACTGCAATTGAAAACAAAGAATAATCAGAAGGCTATACACATCGACAACTAGAAAATTGTACACACTGGTTGGCCTGTGGCCATTGAAGTTTCCCCATTAGTGGTAATATCAGAAATCAAGCCACTGTAAATGGTCTATTACTATATCATTGAAAATAACCCCCCCAAATTACCAGCCCCCATCTGGTCAACCATATGGACCTAAGTCTAAAAAAATGAAATCTTATCTGTAATGCTTCCCTGCTGGATTGCCCAGAGGCAATTCTTACCCTGGAGATAAGGAAGTAAAGTAGGTTTTTACAAAGGTGTTGTGCCACACACCAAGCTCTACAGACAAGCGGAAGTCTACCTTTCACAAGTTTTTGAAGTAACAGAATGGGCAGCAACTCATGCCAGTCTGATCCTATGCTACTGCTTTAGTGTCAGCCAGATGTGCATGTAAGGAGGACCTTGGCTTCATCTGATTTTAATGCCGCAGAAGACCAGGGTTTACTACATGCTTTAATAGTTTATCACTGCACTGGAGAATCTGAAAGTATTCTGAAAGGAGAATCATGGTATTATGCATACCATGGGCCTAAAAAGCTTTTACCCAACTGGGCTAGTACACAAGAAAAAGCCCACCACTCCCTTTGTGTTAAAGAACCAAGAAGACTTAAGTATTATTGCACATGTGCATGCAATGCTTTATTCTACTCATAACCCGGTGATAACCCATGGGCTCCTTCTCCAAGTCTCCTCTCAGTCCTATTGTTTAGGATAAGGAAAATTTCACTCCTCAGAAGGAAGCCACTTGGGGGCCCTTTAAGACTGCCCTAGTTTACTTTTCCATGACTGGTTCCCACGTGAATGGGCTAATATTTAAGTGACCCAATCACATGGAAGATGCTCATGGAAAAGTAGATACCTATTTGTTCCTGAGAAGGCCTTTAAATGCCCTACTAGCCAAGATAAAAATTTGGGAAGCACTAAAATATTCACCTAATTCACTTTTAAATTTGTTACTACAGCATCAATGACAAACTGCAATAATGATGTTTGAAGATGTTTTACCTTAACTGAACTGAGTTAAGATCTCATGGGTGGCTATCAAGAGTCAAAACTAGTATGCATATTGCCAGCTTTCAACATGTGACGCCAGGAGCATTTCCCCTTAAGATATGAAACTTAAAATTCACCATGAGGTCCCAGGGTGGGGTGCAATTTAAAAACACAAAATTAAAATCAGTTACAATTAACTATAATCAAGAGAATAGGCTAGATCCTAAAATGTACACTTCAGGTGTAAAAGAGGTATATCTTCAGCATATAAGGAGAACTACACTATGAAGGTGACAAGATACACCTCTTTGGGGAGGGAATTACCTAGCTTAGGGGCTGCCACAGAGAATACCCTCTCTCACACTTCTGTACTACTTTATTTAATTAAGGCAGAAGAATACAGTGATTGTAAGAGGAGGCTGTCCAATCCTAAATTATGTGATGTGTAGTTATTACTAACGGCAATCCAATGCATTTTCACTCAAACCAGGAGCTTATTTCAGTAGTTACTCTGAGGAACTTTCAAACTGTTTGAGGGGCTGTAACAGGAGAAACTGCTGAAAGGGAAACTGCTGCTGGTGCAGGAGGAGGAGATAATCAAGCTGTTTCTCTATATGAAGTCTGGTGCTGGTAACACCCATTAATCCTTTTAATACGATCACCAACCTTCCATTCAAGAGACAGCCACACTTTTAAGGTGAGGCAATCTAATCCTATTCAACTTGCATTCCCTCCCAAGACAAGTAATTGCAACTTTTGTTCTTAGCCAGCTGTATTTGTAATTTGCCAGGATAACCATGGTCCCTATTATTAGATACTACTTCAATACTACACAGATGAGAAGCTATAGTCTACCCTTTTGCAAAAAGAGTAGATTCAGGGTTAACTGTGTATGCGACATCTTATAAAATAAGTGGCCTTAAAAATAAAACCTCTTCAGCTACTTGAAGAGCAAGTGACATTAGACAAAAATCAAGCAAGCCTAATGAAACAGAGATATTTGAAAGCAAGCATATGAAAAAGCAGAATAGCAAACCACTCAATATACATGCAACCGTGTTCTGACAACTTGTGCCAAATTCATAAGTGGGTACCAAAAGCAATCAAACAATTGTTAAGTAAAGCTGTGGATGATGCAAAATGCAAAACACCACACCACTTGTGATTCACATTCATTCGGGTTTCTGATTTAAGCCAATTTAATATAATTATATATTCAACCTATTTTTGACTGCATGGTTCTCTAACACTAGAATGTAGCAGAATAAAGTGGAAATGTTCAGTAGGGACAGATGACATAAATGATACAATTAGTTCTGTATCAGTAACAAGCAAAAGTTAAAAGTGACAGAAAAGTCTAGGCTATGTAATTGAACTGACAATGAAACCCAGCATGCATACCACTGACAAAGCATTGCACAGGTATGCTCTCTATTATTATCAGCAACAGCAGTTCTACAGGCTTTTCCTAGTTACCCTAGTCACAGCATCACAACTCATGAGGTTGTTAGGTAGATGAGCTTCTAGATGTAAGTGGATCAGCACCAACTACTAGAGGACAGCACTCCATGCTGCTTGCTGCCACTGCAAATAAATAAATTAAGTGTCACACCAGTTTTTTTGCCTAGCCACAAGACAAGACTAAGAACTACACAGCAGACATCAAATTCCCATCCATGTTTGTTACTAATATATGAAACAGCAGCAGCATTTGTAAAGGAAGCAGCATGGCTATGCACACATTGACCCTCCTCTTGCTTGCATGTCACTTTTATTCTACGACCCCTTCTTGAGCCAGCTTCCTTTAACGTGACAGGTGAACATGCCTCAAACCCTGGCTGAGGCATAGCAGCTAAGGAGAGCAGTTGCAGAGGCAAGTGGTAGGATTGGGAGGGGTATTTCTCTCCCCCTCCTAGACCTGCATGCTTGACATTCCACTTGCCAGATACTCAGCTCTTGCCTAAGTTACATTCTTGTGAGTCTACGCAAGCACACATGCACTTTCAGGGTGGATTCAGCTGATGAGCCACATTTCCAAGAAGCAAGCAGCATAGGCTGTTCATGATTGTCAAATAAGCCAGACTGAATCCTGACCCTTTTATTTATGAAAGCAGCTCAGTAATCTTCCAGTATTCTCCAACTTAAGTCTGAAACAAACTATGAAAGAGCGTATGTCTGCAACATGGGATTTCCCTTCTAGAAATATAGTAGTACCTCTGGTTATGAATGCTTCTGGTTATGAATGCATCAGGTTACGAGCTCTGCTAACCCAGAAGTAGCTGCTCCTGGTTGCCAACTTTGTCCCAGGATGCAAACAGAAATTGTGTGCTGTAGGCGCGCGCCCAGTGGGATACCCCGCTAGCGAAAGCGCGCCTCAGGATAAGAACGGTTGCAGCTTAAGAACGGACCTCCAGAATGAATTAAGTTCATAACCAGAGGTACCACTGTAAAGGCTTTATAGCATTGGTACCTTTGGATAAGAACTTAATTCATTCCGGAGGTCGGTTCTTAACCTGAAACTGTTCTTAACCTGAAGCACCATTTTAGCTAATGGGGCCTCCCGCTGCCAGAGCACGATTTCTGTTCTCACCCTGAAGCAAAATTCTTAATCCGAGGTACTATTTCTGGGTTAGCGGAGTCTGTAACCTGAAGCGTCTGTAACCCGAGGTACCACTGTACACGTTTGTTTTAAGAACTACAGACCAGCTCACCAACAAGTCTAAAACCATGCAAACATGACAACTACAGAAGTGAACCATTTCCCTTTCACATCTTTTAAAAGGTGGCACATCACCTTCAGTATGATGGAGAAATGGAGTGCCCTTCTACAGGCAGTCTACCCCTGACACCCAATCTGTTGGCACACTTGGACTTTCAGAACAGCCAAGGATCTTGGTTCACAGCCCTAAGCTTTTACACCCTAGTCTCTTTAGTGTTCTAGCAGGTGTGAACTCCCAGCTCCTAAACTTCATGCTAATTACACCATAAATAACTCCTCAGTCAGTGACTTCATGGTTTCCCCTCAATAACTAAGTGGTCTGGATTCTGAAAAGACAGAACATAAAGGCAGAGAGAGACAGAAGTGTTGCCCAATCACAATGTACTATGTTGCATCCTTGACTTTAGATAGGTATTCAAAATTTGAGATACTGTAGCTCAGTAGCTCATCATAGGGCTACAAGTCTAGAGCTCTATATACTGTAGATACAGTTGAAAACAGCCTTTTCTAACAAGCTAACTTTCTGTAAGGGGTATCCAAACTAACTGGCCTGTTAGAACGATGGGAGCTACATGAAAATCTATTCAGCATTCAATTTCCCAAATGCAGATGCTGATAATGCATTAAGAGAAGTTACCTGGGGATTTCAGTTAATTATACTATTGGTGAATTGCAGTATTAATGTTCTATTTCCCCTCTGACAAAGTAGAACAGTTCACTTGTCCCACAAGAGATCAGATGCTCATTAACAGCAATACAGCCAAAAATAAAAATGCATGGGTTTGTTCTTTAAAGGTTATTGCTCCTTCCAAATACACCAAAACAATAATTCGGTAAATTGGCTGAAATATTTTAATTTCTTGATATGCTGAAAAAGAGGGGGCTCCACTTGACCTGAATTAGTTTTAAATGAGATAAACAGATGCGTTTACAATTTTTTTCTGCCAGGAAGTTAACAGATGGGAAAGTATAACATCTATGGTTATCTACAGTTCCTATAAATGTGCAGTTAAGAGTTCACAAACATGTTTGAGAGCTCACCACTTTGTTTTGGCAAGAGCCACTGACCTTTTCTAGACACATCTTGCTGCCTTCTAAACCTTGGCATAAGAAGCAGCTCCTATTCATTGTGCTAAATCACAGGTGGCTTGCCTCTGCAGTTACGCTGGGCTTTACAAGTGTACTGAGCACATCAAAAGCTCATGGTAATGCCACAATTATGTCTGAACATGTTTTTCTCAGAACTATACAAAACTAATGCTAGAACCTACAGTAGTTGCCACATAGCCTGTAGTCACATCCTGCCACAGCAGACGATTAATTTTTTTTTGGCATTTTATTCAAGTTTAAGTATGTTGTTTTGAAACTGCAAGGCCATCACAAAATATTGAGTGTCAGCCAATTACTTCTCAATCAATAACTGATACTAACTGCCTTTAGTAGTCAGGAAAATCTTCTGTTAGTAAAAAACCTGCTATATTTTTCAAAAAGGAATTTTTTTTTCTAGTTCACAATACAGGTTTACCATGCTAGCAATTACAAGTTATATTACAAGAAACGCCAGTAGTGTGAAAAAAATCCAAGTGTATTGGGATTTGAATAACTAATTTTACAGACTGTCTATATAAGGCAGCACACCTGTAGTATATCAAGAAACAGAATCTATACTTATTTTACCATACTATGGTTTGGCAAAACTGCAGCTTACCAAAAGATTTTTAAGCTGTTTCTAGCACTAATTCTCTGTGCCAACAGCCACACCAGTGTGCCTCAAATAAAAAAAGCCCCGATTCCTTGGTACATTAATTTTAGTATAAATTACACTTGGCATCTCTCCCCCCCCCCCCAGGCCAAATCTGACATCATTATGACATCAGGTGACTACTTCAAAGGGGCTCCCTCTTAACGCTTATCAGCTGATCGGCACCAAGAGTCAGCTCCTTTGAAGGCGTGCTAACAGCACCAGTGAGCTGACAAATCATCAAAAGAGCTCCTCTGCTCGGTGCCAACCAGCTGATGGGTGCTGTGAGCAGCCCCTTTGAAGGTTTGCTGTCAGCACCAATCAATGGCGCTGACAGGAGCTTGCTCTCAGCTGATTGGTACTGCATCTTCAAAGAAGCGCCTCTCAGTGCTTATCAGCAGATGAACACTTGAGAGCAGCCACACTGGAGGCACCATGGAGTTCCCAATGGGAACCCCCGCAACAAGTGCAGCTGATCCGATCCGAGACACTCAGGTGTTTGGCAGATGGGCAGAGTTTGGGGAAAATGGCCTCATGGGTCTAATTAGGTCTGAGGCTAGCGATTCCCCACCACTGCCTTAGTACTCACTCACATGAATTCCCTTGCAAATAGTAAGTAGCCTGCAAGTGACAAAAGTATAAGCATAAGGGCAGGTGCAAGAAATTCCAAAGTGGCTCCATGCAGAGTGTCTAAACCTTACAGACTTTATGACTTTCAAGGAAAGAACCTGACCTCAACTTAAGCGACCTGGCACAATGGTACTCAAAGCTAAGTGGCTAGATCTCAACCCTTCCGAAGAGTTGAAATCAACACAGGCAGGCAATTTGTTCTCACCTAAAATAAGTATAGAATTTTTTGGATACATTTTAATTGATGAATAGAACAAACCTACCAGGGAACAGTAAAAACATTCCTTTATCCAAAAAGAACCCTTTTGAAGTTTGGGTTTAGAATCCTTACCCAAGCCTATTAAAACATTACCCAGAAAAAGACCTATTAAGTTGGCCAAGTATGAAACTGAGGCAATTTTATTTCAACAGGCTTATTTTTCACTTAACAGAGGAATAGATGCACACTAACATGCTTTAATACTATAGTCTTCTATCCAATTGGTAGTTCATCTAAAACCCCAATATATATGAAGGGGGGAAAGCAAGCATGTTGAAAAGCCTACATTTAATATTTCATTTGAATGCAAACTTGCTTGTTCTCATAATCCCAGAAAATAACCATTCTCAGATGGATATATATTTAAAATAAACTTTAAAAGCTGTATTTCAGGCTGTCTTTTTGTTTGCTTTTATGCTGCTTGTATTTTTTTACAAAAGTGAACAGACCTGGGATTTATTTTATAAATAGCAGAATTAAAGTTTCCTATATAGCTAAAATATATTTTAGTACGTAAAATATGCTGATTTAGAACAAGATGTATCAATTTAAATGCCGTCCAATACTTTAATACACACACCAGATTTGAGCCTACTTTGCCATGTAAAAGATTAATGAATACAGAATTACAGGTACAGTATGTCTCTGTAGACCACAAATTTATCCTGGTAAATTATAACTACTTCTGGTTCCTAAACCACTGAACCTGAACACATTCCATCTCATGACCAAAACACTTCTGCCCAGTAATTATCAGCCCCTGCTCCTGTGCAGGTGTGGACACTTAGTCCACAACTGAGTTCAGAAAGATATTAAAACTTATTATTTCACTGGGCAGGATATACAAACTAAAAATGTCCTTTCAAATACACCAACCCAGCCCAACAGAAACCCATTGTTGCACAACCAGCTCCAATTCCTAAGTATACTTACAATTTATAATCCAAAGCAATGCGGCCTACGGGGCCAAAGGTTCTGAATTATCGGCCAATATAGTCGGTATAAAGATTTATTTCCACTGCAAACTGATAGGTTGTCATAAAAGGGAAAACACATTATTTATGCTTGCTCAGGAATCAAAATGGAAATTAGATTTTATATCAATTTAAAATTGATTAAATCATCCAGTGTGGAAAATCCATCTACCCAACTACTTTCCTCTGCCATCTCTTCAGGAGGATTTTAGTGAAATTTGCATTTTATAGCTGTGCCTTGATAGCCAGGTCAGAATTGGTGGCCACCAAGATCTTGCCCCCATAAAGGTAACTCCATTTGTGCTTCATTTAAACACAAGGAGGCTTATTTCCATGATGTCAATGGAATGCAATTACCTTGAGCAAGACAGCCCTCTGCTCAGCTCCAAATTTATAAAGTCGAGAGAAAATAGGGACTTAATTACTTTGGTCCTGGCTAGCATAGAGCTAAGACTTGGGGAGGGGGCGCCTTGCACTGAACCATCCAAACTCTGTATAACTGCAAGGATGATCCCTGCTCTCCCCATGTCCAAATAAGAGAAAAAGGTTCAAGTGCCTCACTGCCCTTGCTATGACAAAGGTGGTCGGTGGAAAACTGGACCCCTGAGCTAGTGCCAGCGTGCAAGGCCTATACGTGCAACTGTCACAAACTTTATTTAACTTCTAAACTACTCAGTGCCCAGTGGATCCTAGAAAAGTTTACAAAGAGCAAAATTCAAATAATAAAAATGCAACTTCAAACACAGGCAAAATACAATTTCTGCAATCACATGGCTTCTCTTCTGAACATGGGTGATACAAGGATGCGATCGCAAGTGCTATGTTCCATGCATGCACAAGGAATTTTCCGCTCTTCCCATTTCCAAAGGGAATGAAACATTCACACAAGTCAGAGGCTGCCCAAATATCACCTGCTTCTCTATGGGCATGCATAAGAGCTGGCTGCTTACACATGGGGTGTGAATTTTTGCTACTGCAAACAGGCTGCAAGCTAGGGCAGAGGAGGAAAACCTGGCCCAGATAATAGCCTTAGGGCACATGATATGGTCAAACTGTTTAAACGGTGTTGCAGAAACAGCAGGATATTAATATAACCAATTAAAAAACACACACACACGGAGCAGACTTCATCCACATCACTCAATGTACTTGACTGCACATTTATTTTTCCCTTTAGAAGGTGATAGTAATTCATTTATGAGGAAGTAATGTGCCATACATGGAGACAACACTGCCTGTCTGTCCCCCATTCCTACAGAAAGGGGCAGTATGTTGACACCTTATCCTTTAAACACAAAGCAAAACAATGAAGCTTGACAAGACTTTTACACCTTACTCAGAGCCTAGAAATTGTGCCTGACTTGGAGAGAGCAGAACTAGGCTTGGAAAATACTACTGAGCAAAGGGCTCAGTGGGGAACGCACAACGGCTTGGAGGAAAAAAGCTAAAACTCTCTTCCCCCCCTCTCAATTTTCCAAGCCCAAAGTTTGCACTATATTAAAAAGCCTGTTCCTGGCTTCTGTTTGTTATGTTAAGTCCAATAAAGAAACCAGAAAAAGCTACTGTCAATGAGGAAGTAAATGGTTGCAAAATCTAGATGAGGGGTAGCCAACGTTATAACCTCTGGAAGTTGAACTCCCAACTCCTCTCCACCTCAGCCAGCATGCCCAATGGTCAGGGATGATGGGACTTGTAGTTTAACAGCATCTGGATGCCACCATGCTAGCCACCCAGATTTAAATGTAGCTTTCTAACCCAGTAAGTTTTTATGTATCGCTTTTTATCTTCCCCCAATACCTAACAGTTTCTATCCAACAGCCAGTGCTCCCACCTACAGGAATATAATAGAAAGGTCTGATTTGGACACACGACTCAGGTAAAGACAAATCCTGCCTCCTTTCCATCATCAGAAAGGCTCCACTAGTCCACCAGTCTCTTAAAATATAGGAGCTCCTCTAACTGAGATACTTTTTAGTATGCTATTAGAGAATGCGAGGGAGCAAGGAATTTTTTAGCATCTGTGTTACAAGCTACTTTTCTAGGTTTCCTAATTTTATAGAGTATTTCCCTTTACCACAGCAACATATAAAGCTCCAAATGAGCACTTTTTCAAGTTTTACAAATAAAGCTATAGATTTAATCTCCTGAAGTCTAGGCGTCAACTAGTATAAACCAAGCGGGTCTTTTATCCAATATAGACAGAAATTGAAACCAAGTGATTTAAATATTTAGCTTTCCAGTAGCGAATGCAATGAGGTTTTTAAAAAAGAATTCAGACATGCATTGGATATGGGCTTTAAAGAAAGTATTGCTAACATTAACCAGAGTTCTTTGAAACTTTTCTGGATGGGAAAAACCTAGTTAAACACACTGTGAAGATAATGGAGCCAACTATTTGATATTGTAAGGGATCAATGTCAACTGAGAATGTCAGGTAGGTATCAGATTTTTATCTGATGAAATTAATGGACTTAAACATCTGATTTATCACATGTCTCTTACACATAATACATATATTTAAAAAAATTAATGAAAGATGTGACAGATAAGGTATGGGCTCCTTTCCCACACCCATGCTTCAGACAGAATGGTGTTTGACTAGTCTGAAATGAAGGTTTATGTAGTTATCAGCAAAAACTGCATTTCATATACAACATGCATCTGATTATCCCTCTACTTTCCTCAATGCTTTTAATATGGCAAGAATCCAAGATAAACGAATGACCTTCAAGTAAGTGTATCTAAAATTTGAGCTCAACTATACATGATGGCCTTTGAACTCACCAAAGTATTTGTACAGCTGGTTTTACAAAATAGATGGAAAAACCATGGTAATTATGCTCATATGACTTGACTCAGTGCATCAAAGTATTTTTTTCCTCAAGTTCTTGTTGAAATGAAATTGTCTTCATCTTTAGCAAAAACAAATACTAACAATTAGTTGAGTGGCACATCAATAAAATAGTAATGCTACCAAGGGGGAAAAAGTACACAACTGTGTTTTCTTCATTTAAAAGATTTTATGAGGTAAAAAAAAATTGTTGCCAACAGCACAAGTATAGAGTCAGCTTGCTTTGAAGTTGCTATGGCTTTGCTTAAGGTAGGCCCATAGCACTGTTGCTACCTCCTCCTCCCTCTTGCAGAGTGTTCTGCATGGGTGAGTCACAGCTAACATTACATCATCTTATTCAGGGAGGGGCCTGATTTCTATAGTGAGAATTACAACTTCTCATAGAAAGCACACACAGCACCCTCTAGGTTATGAAGAAAGCACACTTATTTTAATTAAACTAGGCTGAAAAGTCCTTTACTCCTCCCAGTTTCTAACTGGTAAGTGGGATCTATGTGACAACTTAATGGAAAGTGTCAATAGGGCAGATTGTGTCACTATTACACAAGCGTTTTGCTACAAGCATCCAGCTGCAAAGTTTTAGGAAGAAGCAAGTTAAGACCACTGTTTGGTTTTCTATAGGTGGCAGGGGAAGATATTTAGAAGTTTTATATAAACAGCTTTACACTTTGATTAAACAATACTGAGTGTTACTAGAGGGTTATCTGCCCTTGAAGGTTTACTTAGGGTGGGGGGAAGTAGTTAGAGCCTTAATTCTCACCAGCACATCATTGCAGATGTCCCTTAGTTCAGTCTCAATTTTCTCTCTGTATTCTCGGGCCATTTGCTGCTTTTTCTCAGCACCTTCCGTCTTTTGTTCAATGCTTGACACAACCCTCCAAGATGACCTACGTGCTCCTACAACATTTTTGTAAGCGACAGAGAGAAGATTCCTCTCCTCATTTGACAATTCTGCTCCTTGCTCAGTCACAGACTTCATGCAGGCTGCCATGTCATCATATCTCTCAGCCTGCTCAGCCAGTTTGGCCTTCTGCACCAGCTCGTTTTTATCCATGCTGATTTCTCTGGAGAATGAAAAATATCAAATAATTATTTAGACATCTGTCAGGCAAAATCATTTGTAACTCAGCTATCTCTTAGCAATGTAAAGAGCACATTGCAACTGACACACATTTATTGGATGCAAAAACCACTAATTTCAATGGCCCATTCCAAAGTTCTATATCAGGCTTGTCCAACTCCCAAGAGACTGCGATCTACTCCCAGTATAAAAAAAATTGGCAGTGATCTACCCATTGTCATTGGAGGGAGGAGGAGCGTTCATGGAGTGGGTGGATTGCCCAGAGCTGTTGAGCTTTTTTTGCCAAGGATTGCCCAGAGTCGTTGAGCTTTTTGGGAGTAGGATTGTCCAGAATTCTTCAGCTTTTATTTGTTAACTTTTGGTAAACTTTATTTAATCCCACGATTGATAAGGGTCCCACGATCTACCAGGATTAGCTGGGGATCTACCAGTAGATTGCAATCTACTGGTTGGACATGCCTGTTGTATATTATTGTTGAGATATGGGTCAAATTAATCTTCATTTTTATTAAATTCATGAAATCTTGGGAAGGATATGGCCTCTGCAATCTTAAAAAAATAAAACCTTTCAAGCATGGAATGTGAACTATTCCCTCAGATGCCTCTGCTATCTGTCCCCTAGATGATCTTAGCCTTTTGTTTGAAGGGGCTACTATCAGCACATTGCTATTTTGAGAAACACCAAACCCTTTGGAAGGTTTGCAATCTTAAGAATTTCACCACAATGTGTTGTGAGAGCCATTTCTTCCTTTCTCAAAAGCTACTCAAGTATACCTCCGTACCCTCTTTTCTCAAACTACATTCTTGTACATGGTTAAAAAAATCCTGATTGGTATCAGGGTCATTGGGCCCAAAAGCAAATGAATTTAGCTACTACACAGCTCAATCAATATTAGGGTTGGAAGCAAATAACTCTTGAGTAGCTTAATCAATGAAACTTAAGGTCATGAGGCAAGTCACTTATTATAACAGAACTTAGTTTAGGATCAGGATGCCAAGCTGCAACTGTCAAGCTACTTTATTGAAGCAGCCGAGGAGTGAAGGTTTTGCACTGTGTTGTCTACTTTGGTGACCTTACCCTCATAAAGACGGAGAAACATCTTGGTCAAGAACCATTTTGCTACTCAGGAATGGCAATTTAATATATGGAAATAAAGCCAGGGAACGTTAGCTGCTTAGCGACCCAACCTCTCCCCTTGCAAACCTGGTAGCATCTGGGAAGACTGCGGAGGAAAAGGAACCTTGCTTTTTGACCCGAAAGGAAAGATTCGTGTGGTGATTTCCTGTACACAGTGTAGCTAGGACTCGGCTGTCTAAAATGGTGCTGCTCGGTGCACTCCCTGGCACAGGCGGCCGAGAGTATGCCGCTGCAGCTGGCACGGCTTAGAAACATGGCTGGGGCGGGTACAAAAAGCGAAAGGTGTGGGCGAGAGGGATGGCGGGGCGAGGGAAGAGGACAAGTCAGGCCAGGCTGCCGCCGCCGCCGCCCCTCCCAGCGCCGCAACCGCCCGGCTCCGAGACATGAAGCGCCTTGTCTGGGCTCTTTGTCATGGCGGATCCGAGTCAGAGCCCAGCCCACTTGTGTGCGCGCTGATCCCCCTCCACCTCCGCCCCGCGCCGGGAGGGGAGATTGCTGCATCTCCTCCGCCCAGACCCAGGCCGGAGAAGGAGGAAAAAAGGGGAAGCCCAGGCGGCGCCTCGCCGAGGGAAGGAAGGAGAAGAGACACGCCCGCCCACCTGCCCCTCCGCTGCTGCTGCCGCCGCCGCCGCCTCTCCCCTCGCCCTGCGGCGCCGCTGCCGTCCCCGCCCCGAGGGAGCCTCCGCGGCCGCAGCCCACACTCGCCCCCTCGCCTCTCTTTCTTCCTTCGCTTCCTCCTTCTCTCCCGCTCCTTTCCTCCGCCTCGATCGCCCGCCCGCCGCTCCTTTTCAAGGCGGCCCCCTCCGATGCGGCGGCAGATCGCACCGGCTGGATGTGCCGCTCCCGGCAGGAGGCCACACCCTAACCAGCCGCCCGACGAGAGAGAGAGAGAGAGAGAGAGAGAGAGAAGGCCGCCGCGGGAAGGGAGGGAGGCGGAGAGATGGAAGAAGGGAAAGGAGCGAGAGCGAATGGGGAGGGGGGGAGAGAAAGGAGAGAGAGGGAAGGAAGCCATCCTACTCCCCAACATGGCGCCCCTCCTTCCTCCGCTCACATGGCACCCCGCATTTCGAGGAGGAGCAGCAGCAGCAGCAGCTCCCACCCCAACAAAGATAATATGAATATGGGTGGCGGAGAGAGAAGGGAGGCTGGAGGGCGGCGGCGAACCTTCCCCTTCATCATGTCTGCCTCACAGGTAGAGGCGCTCGCCTCCCAAGAAGGGGGGGGGGGAATCAGCTCCCCCCGGTCCGAGTAGCCAAGGGGCACCGCCCCGGACCTTCACCTGCCATAGCCTTGCCCGAGGCAGAGAAAGGGGCGCCGCCGCCCAGCTCAGCCCTCCGCCTTTGCCCTCCATTCTCGCCCCCTTTCGCAGGGCGAGGCGCGAGAAGCGGCTGCCTGAGCAGGTGGGGCCGCCGCCGCACCTGTGTGGGGGGGTCTGAAGCGCGCGCAGAGATGGGGAGGGGGGGGGAGAAGAGGAGGAGGAGAGACACCCGCCGCCGCAGGGAGGGAATGAATGGCTTCCCCTCCACCAGGCCGCGGCAGTGGGTGTCGCCCAGCACCGCGGCAAGGAGGAGCCGCCCTTCTGTGCGGGGAAGAAGGGGGCCGCCAACCCGCTGCCGCCGCCTCGCCCGCTCCTCTTCCCCTTTCAGCCGCCGCCGCCGCCGCACCCCACCCCCCCGCCGGGCTCTTCTGCCGCCGCCGCCCCTGAACCGCAGCAGATCCCGCCGCCGGAGCGCCTACCCGGAAAGGAAGGGGAAGGTGCGGGGGGGGAGAGAAAAGGCGGCGAGGCGAAGCCTAGCGAGGCCGTTACCTGCGGGCTCGACGGGACGGGAGTCTCTAGGCGGGTGACCGGCGCGGACTGTGCCTATATCGCGGCTCGCTCCGCTGCAGCCTCGCTCTCGCTCTCCCAGCGCCACACACGGGGTCTCCGCCAATCACCGCGTCGCAACGCACGGGCAACACAGAGCCCGTGACGTCAAGCGGCGCCATGGCAACCTCGCGCGAGCACGCGCTTGCGCCTACACTTTCCCTCCCCTCCTTCCCCCCCCCCCCGCTCCGTCTCTCCTCAGTCAGTCTCTCTCTCACACTTACCAACCCGGTGGCTGCATCAACCGCCTCAAGCGCGCGCCCGGCTGCCTTTCCTGCCTCCGCGCGGCGGCAGCGGACACGCCTTAGCCCCGCTGTTACACCCTCTGTCCCCCCCCCTCTCCTTCCGACGACGGGCACGCGCGCCGCCTTGCCGCCCTCCCACTACTGCAGAGCATGTTCGCTCGCGCATGCGGGAGAGCCGCGCCTCTCTTCTTGGCGGCGCGCAGCCAGCGGCTCGGCTGTTGGGAGCAGCGCAGGGTGAGGCTGCGCGCCACCCCGACGCTTCCGTTCCTTTGCCCCACATCCTCATAAGGGACTGAGGAAGAGGAGGGCGGCGCGCGCGGCCGCTGCTCCTTCCCCCATCTATGCAGCCTTTTCTCGACCGGGGTGGGTGGGTGAGTGGGGGCAAGGGGGATGAGACACGCCAACAGGCAAGCCCACCGCTCCAACAGATCTCTTCAGACGGAGCGGGCCGAAGTAACGCCCTCCCCCCGCTCCCACACAGACACATGCCCACTATCCGAATCGCCTTTCCGGTTCCCAGCCCCTCGGCCTCTCCGTCAGTCAAGGCCACACAGAGGGTAGATCTTGTTTCGGGTTCCTTTGGTCGATTTTCTAGTGCTTTTTATTTTATATTTTATTAGGGACACACGTGTCGTCGTCCCCCGCCCCCACAAGCCTTACTGTCGGTTTCACGTTCAATTTCAGCCGTGGAGCCATCTTGGAAAAAAGCACAGAGGCCACTGTAAGGTGCTGACCGCACACAAAAAAAGGTGTATACAGTACAGTATTCCTTTCTATCATGTCTTTGGTATTGCTTCTGTGGTACATTTTCAGGTCGAAGGAACCCTTTGTGAAGGTAAAAGTGAGGTGTTTTAAAAACAAAAATGCTTCAGCTTTGTGAAATGTATATTCTTAGCATGTAAGTTTCATGGTTTTTCCGATGTGATCGGGGATGGCATAGTCCTGGAAACTGGAAGGAAAGAATGCTGTCCTAAACTTGTTAGTAAATCAACTCTGGAGGAGAACTCCTGAGAAAGAATTTAGCATCTGGTTACTGTTCATCTTGTGTCAAGATTCAAGTAATAGTGATGTGTGCTGTTTTTCAAATCACACTAATGAGAGATCACATAATGCAGGCCATGTAACTTTTGCCAACTATCTCAGAAAATGCTAAAGTCTTAAGTGCTATCCGTAGCAAAGTCCACAATGGAACAGTAAGAGAAAAGGAAACAGGGCAAAAGAGGAAGTTCAAACAGTTGATTTCAACAAGCCACCCTTAGTGAAATCTACACACAATAAAGAAATTGCCTATTTGTTCTGCAAACGTTCTACCTCATGATTCATTATTTAATGTTGCAATGTATGTTTAATTGAACAGCAAAGCAGCAAGCTAAATTCTGGTTATATAGTAAAGTCACATATGATGTCAAGCATGGTGCAGGTAACTTTCCAAGCTAAGTTCTGGTGACATAATAGCACTAGAAACTAAGCAACATTTTCTTGTTTGACAGAAGTAAGCTTGGTAAGAAGATTAGCATTGTTCAGCTTTGCATGGTGACAGGTTTTGTTGAATTAATATATAGAATACATTTTTAAAAGAAAGGGGGGAAATACACTTAGTACAGAACGAATTAAGTTCTTAACCTGAGGTACCACTGTATCCAAAGTGGGAGGCTTACAGGAGGTATAGTGGTTCAAATACTGGACTAAAACCACAGAGACCCAGGTTCAAAACGCCATGCTGTCATGATCATTTGATGATTATGGACTAGTCATAATCTCGCATTTTATCTACGTCACAGGGTTGTGGGGAAAAATGGGTGAGGGAGAAAAACTATGTAGCCTCATTGGAGGAAGTGTGGGATAAAAATGTAAAATAATAATAAAGCGTGGTTTATACAACTACTGAATTGGATATTGTATATACACATTTCCAGACTGTGAAGGAATTGTATACTTTCCATTGATGGTGGTGACATTTTGAGGAAGGCAGTGTTTATTGGTTTATGACAAACAAGCTTTTAGAGAAGATTAGGATGAAGATGCACCAGTTTGCAAGAAAGATTGGACATGAAATAGTGGGCCTTATCAGCACTTTTAATTGGCTGTTTGAGAAGAATTGTCAGATAAAATCTTTACCCCAAGCACTGCTGGCTGCAGTGAAAATGATTATGAGTTGTGTAAAAAATGATGGATTATCATACCACAGTTTATTGGGTGTTTGTGGGGGGCAAACACCAGTCATAAGCCAACTGAAAGTATAGTGAGATCTGCAGGGAATCTCTGTGTACTTGGGACTTCCAATATATGGAAAAACAGAAATAAATTGTGGGGATGTTACATAACCTTTGCCTGTCAATATAATCATTGTGTGTTTTGGAAATCTCATCTGTGCCAGTGTGAAAACTCAGAAGGAAGAAATTATCTAGTGAAATGACCCTGACTGCTTGTATATGACAATATTGACCATAAATCAAGCGGGAGAAAGGTTTCTTCCATGTTCCCTAGCCCTATTATATCCATACTATTATAAGCAACATCTGGATTTTCTGACGTTGAAAGATCAGTATTACACTACTGATCAACCAACCACCAATGAATGAGCATGTTGATGATTTTTTTAATTTTAATTTTTTGCAGTCCAGCAAAGAATCTACTTTTTCTGAATGGTCAACAAATACAGAAAGAATGCTAAGACCCGCAAATTATCTCAAGGTAAAAGAGCACACAGAAATAGCTTGCCTCCAAGGTGTTCATAGTATGTGCACCAATATTAGTAGATATTTCATGAACAGATACAATGTCAATACCTTGTAGGTACTGGATTGGATCCAGAGTTCCATAAGTAGAATTCCGCTCTCAGGCTTTGACTCACCCTTTTTGCATATTCCAAAAACCTCCAGAGGGTTGTAGCAGGCCTTGAAAAGTATGGTAGGTGGTATGAGTTGCAAGTGGAGTAGATAAGCAAAAACTCCTTTTTATTGGTCTCAAGCTCCTTTTGTTCATGGAAGCGGCTTTTGAGGACCGTATTTGAATCCAACTCATTGTCCCAACTGACTTTGTTTTATGCAAACTGTTCTTCAGTGACTGGTTAGACAGTCACTTATATAGCACTGAACAGTGACCATCTTTGGGGATTGGGTAGATAAATGCACTTAATGTGTTCTCTTCTACCAGTGAATGGGGATGGTATCTCTTGAAAACCAAAGTAGTCACAAATTCCAGAAATATTGGGTACATGTTGTGAATTCTGAGTAAACATGCATAAGACTGCACTGCAAATGAGTTGTGGTTAGTTCCCAGTGGGTCTTGTTAAGACCTGAGTAGTTTTTCACATTGATTTCAATGAGGCCTAAATGCAACTAACTTGCAGTGTAATCCTATATATGTCTACTTAGAAATAAGTCCCATTAAGCTCAATGGTGTTTACTCCCAGTTAAGTGAGTATCGGATGGCAGGCAACATCTTGATCCATCCCAGTATGCCCACCATCCTATGGAAGACAAGGTCCTGTCTCCTATTTAAGGGCTAGATCCAACACGTGTCTATAAATAACTGCACCTTATATCCTAACATATGAAGTTGTATTTCACAGCTATTTCCAAGCCTTATGAGGAACAGTTGAGGAAACAGGGTATGTTTAGTCTGGTAGAGAGGAGATATAATAGGCATATTCAAATATCGTAAGGGCTGTCACATAGAGGATGGAGAAAGCTTGTTTTTTCCTGCTCTGCAGCGCAGGACCCTAACCTACGGGTTCAAGTTACAATAAAGGAGATTCCAACTAAACACCAGGAAGAGCCACCTTACAAGAAGAGCTGTTTGACAGTGGAACAAACAGACTCCCTTGGAAGGTGGCGGACTCTTCTTCCTTGGAGGTTTTCAAGCGGAGTTTGGATGGGCATCTGTCTTGGATGCTTTAGTTGAGATTCCTGCATTGCAGGGGGTTGAACTAGATGATCCTTGGGAACGTAATGATCACAGATTCCTCGATTTACACTTCAATCCTAAACAAATTATTTGGAAGAAAAGCCCATTGATTCAGTGGAATTTGCTGCCGACATAAGACGTGTGTGTTTGTGTGTGGCAGATTTGGGACCAGATCGCTAAGGCTGAATTTCTCAAAACAGTTTGCTTGGCAGTAGGTAGGTAGCATCAAAATGATATTTCGCTTAAGGCTTTCCAGACTTTTCTCTTGTTTGTTTGTTTGCATGAGAAACACACAGTGGTTCTTTGTTGCAGGGAATTGAGACGTATTTGCCAGGGAAAGTGCTTCTGTTACAGGATCTTGTATTTTCTAGCAAAGCAGAGGAAGAGGTGGGCTGTAAGCTGGTGCTAGAAAGCTCTAGTTTATCTGTACTGCATGTACACCATACACTTAAAGTGCATTTCCCACATACAATAATGCTGGGAAGTGTAGTTTGTTAAGTGTGGTGCTGGGTGTTGTAGCTCTGTTGGGTTAAACTACAGTTCACGGGAGTCTTGCAGTGAAGAGGGAGATGTGCTTTAATTGTCTGAAGCATATACAGCCTTTATAAAGAGTGCCCAACCATGCGCCTTCCTCAGAGACAAAGGGATTTCATTCATGTTTCTTTTTCTGGTATAGCAAAAGCACCTAAGGCAAGAATATACTTTTGAAATATATTAGAAATGAGGCTCATTACCTCCAGAGAGCACCAGTGGTTGAAAAACCATGGGCACTCTTCAAATTTACCACTTCCTTGAATCGACTTGGGGTTTCCTGTTTCCTTAATTTTTTGAAGAAAGAATTCCTTAATTCTGCTATGCTGTGAATTTCTTTTTGTGTGCGCACTCTTCTCCCTTTGGTGGTTTCCTGGGTCCCAGTACACATTGTTGAATTTATGAGAAATACTGATTCCTCCAAGAAATAGCACCATTCACTCACTGACTGCCATTTTGATTCTGGCTCCCACTAGAAAGGGCCAGCAATCTTTCGGTTGGCTGTGTGTTGCTTTTGGGCTGCCTTAGGCAAGATAAAGTGACTAACAAACTTAAAAAATATACTATAAGTAAATCTTACCTCTTGTCTTATTTCCACCATTTCTTCCAGCATTTTTTAAAATCCTTATTTTCTTTTCTGCACAACATGCCAGCTTCATCAAAAGAGAGAAATTCTAGCAATATCTTAAATATATTTTTCCACACAGTCCTGCTTATCTTTAAGGTAGGTGCTGGGGAGAGCAGAGTGAGGGATGACTCCTGCAACACTTCTCCAAGGCTCCTAAAAAGTAGCATAGGAACTGTTCAGTTTGGA